GTTTGAAAACCTTCAGAAACACGATCTAAGATCAAAACCCTCCAACACCATGACCCAAATACACAGGCATAGCTTTTCAGCACAGGATAAAAAAAGTCAAAACAGAAATAGCAGCTTCAAAAGGGAGCCACAAACAACACTGATATCCAGAACAGACCAAAGAGACAGATCAGTAGAAAAAAGTTTTCAGCTGTCTCCAACAGTTGAAATGTCCTAGGACTAAGTTCCCCAAAATATACTTCCAAATGCTAGCAGATAAAACCTACATTAGTCATAATCTGGTAATTCACAAGCCCAGCATAGCTGTGCTAAAGCCCTTCAGGAAAAAAAGTAGAAAATAAGTATGGAAATGCAGCAATGAGGATAGGGGAGAAAGACTGTGAACATATTGGTCTCAGGAAGAAACGTGAAGAAGCAAAGCTCTTACTGCCTCCACAGCTGGCATTTTGTTGGGGTTTCTTTTTCTTTCTTTTTTTTTTCTTTAAAAAAAAGCAACACTAACATTTTTGTTCATGCATGGGTACTCAGTTTGCCAGCAGGTTACCCATTCCTTCTGCTGCAACACTTTCTACTGCTCCAGCAGAAAACCCTTTTGTACTAGCTCTTCTGTTGTGGCCCTCCTCATGCAAGCTCTGCACAGTCCACTGACACCTGAAGAACCTTGCAAAATCTTGCAGTCCACCACTGGCTTGCACAGTTTCTCCCAACACATACCGCAGATTCCCAGTCTGCAGTGTTTGCCCCTATATTTGATTTCAAACTGGTCTCCGGCACTCATGGGCTGACTGAATGCTGCACCCTTTCCTAAATGGCGCTTTCTCAGAGCTTGGATTTGACTACGTCCACAGTATTGGAGCTGCCTCAAGCCTTCATGACACACTTCAGTGGTCAAATTTGGGTGGCATCGTTGAGACTTAATTTTCTGCCCTTCTAGTCTCCAGCTGCTGGAAGTGCTATGGAGGAAGCAAGTATCTCAGCTCATGAGAACGGTACTTCAGTCTTATACCAGGCAAAACCTAGTCTCCATTTTCACCTTCATATTAATGACTCTTCTCTCTGAGCTTCCATTTGCACCAGGGTACGATGGGATGCACTCTGCACAACCTCCTCTTGCCACCTTCATTTCCAGAAAGCTCCAGCATGAGGAGGTTTCTGAATACCCCGTCTTCTGCTGCTCATTTCACTCCTGACGCTGGATGTTTCCAGCAACTGCTCCACTGCAAGTTGCCCAGAGTAAGTCAACTTCACACAGCGCTCAAGTCCTGCCTGATCCGTGCTGGGTATCACCAGCAAGAGTGCTGGTGGGCAACAGCCCAGATGCCAAAACCTGCACTGGCACCGAAAACCGAGAACGTGAAAAAGGGCAGGTTTGGCTCTGCTCTGACAGACAAGCATTTCTGCACACCCAGGGGGCACAGGCAGGGTGACCAGGTAGCACTTTGCTCAGGAGGAAAAGAAACCAAATAGAAATGAGTAGTAACTGTCAGAAAACAGCGTATCACTGGGGGCAGAGGGTGAAAGAACGGCATTATCTTATTCTAGGAATTAGCCAGCTGACACCAGAAGTCCCGAGTGTTTTTAGGACCTTCAAAACACCCCCAGTTCTTGCTTAAATTGATGCCTATCCTCTGCTTTTGGCTGGCAACCTTCAGAGTGACAAGAAAATTATCACAGCACAGAAACAGGAGGAAGGCAAAGATGTGCCCAAGACAAGGCTGGCCTTTTAGGAAGGCCAACAAGTCAGATGTGGAAATGCCACACGCGATCATCAAGAGCCTTTTCATATTGTACCTGTTTCTTTTTTACATAAACAGTGGTCTAGTTTGGGGTGAGGGGGCTGGAGGGGAAAGCTTTCATTTGGTTAGGAGAGCAGCTGCGATGAACTTTGTTGATCAGCCTCTTCTCATTGCATGGCGCTCCCTCACCTCAAGTTTCACAGTCAGTGTTTGGACTTGCTCTTCATTGCACAAACTACCCACAGGAACAAGCAGTGGTTTTCCTCTAGAGAAATCCTGCACAGCAGGTCTAAGGAAAGACCACAATCACAGCGCCAGATGCTGAGATACGCAACAAATGGCGGATAAACCCCACTAGAATACCCTCTGCGTGCTGCACACAAGTGCTTCATCTGCAAGGCGCACGCTCGGCCATTTAGAAGGGCCATAGCAACCGCCCTCTTTTCCATGGGTTTCTACCATCATGCACCTTATGGAGCCCAGAGGCCAAAACCTCTGTTTAATTCCCTTCATCTGATTTCATTGGGGATGAGCATTTTTAAAAATTACAGATGCAGTTGTATTTACAAGAGGCTGCACCTGCTCCATCAGCCTGGTCCCTCTGTAACTGCAATGCTGATTCCCAGAGGCCAACACCAAGACGAGAGACCACGGTGCGCATCCAGAGGAGAAGTCCTCGGCTTGTGCACAGCGCTTGGCTGTTCACGGCACTGCCCCGCGCATCCATGCAGACAGGTACGTGCCTGAAGCCCTCTGCCTCCAGGGAAATAGAGGGGGGGACAAGCAAAAAGGCACAGTGAATTCTGCAGGTCACGCAGTAATGAGCAACAGAGCTAAGAATTGTAAATATTATGTTTTTACTCAACAAAAACATCTCAGTTGTGCTCTCTTTGCTGCCAGCCGATGTTGGAGGAACCCTAGCCCGAAATACTCTGCCACAGAAGAGCTACCCCAAGAGCAACTGTGAAATTTTGTGTCCACTGCTGAAGAGGAATAACCCAAGAATTATCACTACATTTCACAGGACTCTTGTAAAAGAGATAAGCATCATTAACCCTGCTTTACAAGCAGCAGCGTTTCTTGCCCAAGGTTACAAATGTCCCTTGAGGAAGATGCAAATTACGTTAACTTGACTAGCAAAGATCCTACAAGCCACTACACTGGAGCGCAAATTTCATGAAATCTTGCAATAACTTCATGTTCTCCTCTGGTCACATAAGTAGTCACGGGATGATCTCAGCCCATGGTGGCTTCGCATGAGCCTGCAAGTCAGAAAGGCATCCGCACCCCACCGGAACAGGGCCCGGGGGAGCAAGCCTATGTCCCCAGGCTTCAGCACGGGCTGCAGATGCTCAAAGATGCTCAAAATGAGCACCTCCCATTTCCTTCCCTCCCTGGCAGAAAGGTCCCCCAAACCTTTTTACTGCCCTTGCTCAGTGAGACCAAAGGTGGGGCAGTGAACGTGCTCCAACTGCAAATGACATCCACCGGGGTTTTGGATACAAAAGAGTTAGCTCCTGCTCCTGTCAGGGGCCTGGACACAAGAGAGATGTGGGAGGACGGGCTCAGTGTGCGAGAACAACTCTGCACCATTTTTCAGGAAGGGAAGACCGTGAGTAAAAGCAGCAATTCACTCCTCAGACGCCGGCACTGAAAAAGTATATATAGTATGCAGGCATCGGCTCACGGAGCTTGGATTTATCAGGAAAAATCTCCAAATCTGGGAACTGTCCACCAAAAAAAAACAGACGGGGCACTGAAATACTGCATTTCTGCTCCCAGATGCAGTACGAAAGCCAAGCAGGATAGGTTCACGAGTGCAGCACACCTCCCGGGTGCAAGGCTAATAAACAGCCATCAGCAACTTCTCTGCCATGGGAAGGAAGACTGAAAGCTGGAGAAAGATATTGCAAGCAATACATGAGGTTAAATCAAAAGGCGATAGCACTGGGACAAAGCATCCAAGAGGAGTTTTTGTGAAATTTCTGTTTACTGTCAGGTTGGGATATCAAAACTGCTGCAAAACTTGGACCGCGTGGGCCAGACCTGAGCACTACAGGGTCTCAGTACCCTGAGGACATGGCATCAGATGGAAAGCATTCTCTGTGTGGGAGAATATATGCATATAACCACTGCTTGTTGTATAACTCAGCTTTGCATATACATAAACATACACACATTTTAGTAAAGAAGGCACCGTTCCCCTTGCCACCACTGTATGTATCTGTATATATTTTCTGCTGAGGCAGTACGAATGTACTGAAAATGAGTGAAACTCTAGATGCACGTATAAACCATATAAACCCACGCACCCGGGGAGCGTGGGCGACATTGAATATGTGTTTAAGCACTGAAAACCACTTCCAAAGGTTATTTCTTCAGAATATTGTGGTGGCTTGCGGTAGCGATTCAGTGAGATGCTAATACTGCTTAGCATCTGGCTCCATTTCAGGTGTAACATTTACACAGACAAGAAGAAAAAAAAAAAAAAAAAAGTATGAAGTTTGTACCTTTTTTTAAATCCAAGCTCGAAGAACCTGCCGATCACAACTGTGAAGCACATAAAAGCAAAACTAACGCTACAATAATTTCCCGTTCCCCGGAAGAGGAAAAATACGCATAGATAGTTGCATCTCGATGTGAAACATGGTGTGAATATTTCAGCTGTCTCAGCGAGACACCTAATTCAGCCCCCTCAACTCTGTGGTACCTGGGCTGTACATAGCGCTCCTCACAGCTTTTGCTTGAAAATATCACTCTTTAGCCACATCCTGGCTCCCTGGCCCCTTCTTTTCCCAAGCTGTAGTTTATATTTGTAGAAAAAAATCCAGGTGCCGGCTTTGAACAGTAGTTACTAGAGATCACCTTTCAGAAGTCGAGGCAACTGCTGAGGCAATCACTGCATCTCAGTCACCCTGCTCAGAGCAGAGAGCCCACGAAACATTTGCGTTGTACCGCTCGGGGCTGGGAGTGACCCCCAGCGCTCCCGCAGCGGGGCCAGACTACCACCCTGCTTCCCAGCCAAACGCCCGCTAAACAGCAGCAAACGCCGCCGCTCCACTCGCTGGGAAACCGGGGTGCCTCAAGTGTCTTTCAGACTGTAGAAAGCAACATCAGTCAAGGTTTATGCTTTCCTCAAGAGGGCTCTCTGTCTCAGTTTATATAAACAGCTTGCCGGTTTTACAATATCAGCAAGGAAAAAAGAAAGAAAAAAAAAAACAAACAAAAAACAAAAACAACAAGCCAAAGCAAGATAGATGATACCTGTTGTAACTCCATCTACTGTAAGACATGGTCATGTTGCTGCTGACACCATCCATCTCCGGCTCGGCTACGGCACTTCCAGCATCGCTCGCCTCCCGCAGGCACCGGCTCCTGGGCTCGGGAATCAAACACCTGCCTGAAGACAGGCCCACTGCAGGGATGCAGGTGGGTGCCTCTGGCCTTGCACGCTGGGGCCAAAATTCACCGCCGAGCGGCAGCTTCACATCGAGCTCTGGATGTACGGAGCAAACCACTGCCTGCGCCGGGGAGGGCGGGATGGAGGGAGGAGGAGGCTCCCGGAGTCCCTGCCCGGAGGACCGGCGACAGGATGCTCTCAGCCTCCCGGCAGACACAAAGGCGCTCAGGTAATAAACTGGAGCAAGGGTGATAAGCTGCTTAAGAGATATTCAGCGAAGCCGTGCTCGGGAGCAGCCGCTCGCACGCCTCCTGCTCCAGCACACGCGGGTTATTTATTTATTTATTCCGGTTGCCACAGATACGGGTCCATCCTTCTGACATCAGCCATCTCCCACCCCGCAGCGGGTCCCTGGGTCTCACCAACGTGCTCCTCCTGGCAGGCAACGGTCGATCGCATCCCCTGGGCACAGGGGCAGCGCTGGGTGCCAGCCGTGGTCAGGCAGCTTGGCAGGACCACCTCCCCGCTGGGGACACGGCCCCACCGCACCGCACCTGCAGCCCCGGCGTCCAACAGATCGGTGTACAGACTACTCCAGGGACCACTCCATAGTACAGCAAAAATGCTTCGCATCCACCATTGCAGTCACTGGTTTTGCACAGCGCACAGCCCCGGTTTGCCCCAGTGCGGGGGTGTCAGCGTGACGTCCATCCAGCCTCAACCTGACTCTTCTAAGCGCAGGTCTCGGGCACAGGACCCAGAGACAAACCATGCTTCATGGCTCCTGTCCACGTTTCCCTGGTGGAGACCAGCAATGTTCAGTGTCAGGGCCTGTGCTGAGGACACGTGGGTCTCTCACGGAGGCACGTCTCACCTCCAGCAGCTACAGACAGCACAGGGTCTGCTCTGCTCCCGGGTGCCCGTGTCTGCCCACTGGTGGGAATCCGACCTTGCCCACTCACTGAATATTTCCTGATCAGTTCCAATAACCTCAACACAAGGGGACTGTGCAACAGTAGTTCAAACTGAACCACTTTCCACAAAAATAAATAAATAAATAAATACTCTTCCTTCAAATTAACTTGTGGTTTTCCTTTCAGAAAAAAAACCCAACAGTTCAGTAGAACTTGCTCAGCCTCTCTGCATTTTCAAGCCGCACTATTACAGGTCTGCCTTCAAACTGTGCAGTGGTTTCTTGCATCTCCTTTAAAATATTTGCTTGCCGTCAGCTTGGCAGTGCCACACGTTTGTGAAATTTGGTTGCTGAGATGCTTGGCTGTGCAATGATGGACACAGCTGGATCGTGTCCCCGCGGTGACCCAGTATGTCTCTGTACCTGCACAGGGGATGGGGGGACCGCTTTCAAACCGTTCCCAGGCAGCCTGGGCTCTCTGGCCTGCGTTAGCATCTTCTGGCCCCTTCCCTTGCTGCGATGCCAGCCAGGTGTCCAGCCCTGCTCTTAAGCTGCGTGATGCACTCCCAGCTCCTGAGGGCAAGATCTCCCAGGAGAAATGACTGAAAATCGCAAGCATACATAAATAAGGACTGGAAGGGACTTGGGTTAAATCAGCCCCAGTCCCTCATCTCACAAACAAATGTGTCTGATGAGTGCTCTCAGGCTGAAGCTGCAGAGGCTGGTAGCGAGAAGCTCCTAGAAGCTCCTAGAGCTCCAGAACGCAGATGAAGCTCCTAGAGCTCCACCCCGCAGACAGCCAGAGACCTTCCTGTTTCTAGCTCAAAGGTATTCATGCAAAACTGAGATTTTTTTCACGGACCAGTTTTAATCCAAATCAAACCTTCTCTAAATATGGGCGCTATTTGGCCACACTTCTTTCAAACAGGGAAAACATCATCCACGTTTTCTTGAACTGACAATTAAGTCGCCTGAGCCTCATTCCTCCTAACTGCGTGTATCCTGTGAGTTTATCAAACTGACTCCTCTTACGAATGCTTTTGTTGATGTTGCATATAGGCAGTGTGTTCCCATTTATCTTATTTATAACCCCCATTGAGTGACCTGGAGGAAACGAACAGTCTGGAAAGCAGAGTTAGTCACAGCACATCTCTTCCACCTACCTGCAGCTGCTCACTGCTGTGCTCATGCTAAGAAAATTGTAAACGGGCAGGCTGAAACCTGACCATTTACTCGGCTGTTGAATTACTCAGGCCAACGTTTTCCACACTGGAGCAGCTGAAAATCACCCTGACAAGCTCCTGCATCGCAGGGAAGCCTCCATCAGAAACAAACACTTCAAGGAGCTCAAGAGTGAGGAGCACAAGTGGGCTGCTGGAGCGCAGACTCTTCTCGCCACATGCCTCACCTGAAGCTCACCGGCACCTCAGGCTCCTTCTCATTCATCCTGGACCAGAGCATTGAGTAGGAGAACCTCAACCGTGGCGGCTCATGCTGAGACCAGGGGAAACGCAACTGTGCATCCAGAGTTGTCTTGTCCCAGCAACCTCATTTCCTTATACTGGTGTCAGAAATGAAAACTGTCCTGGCACACTGAGGCAGGTGGGTTGTGAAGATTTTGGGTTGACCCTGCCAAACCTCATGGCAAATACAGCCTCTCCATACAGGTAACACACCAAAAACCAAAACCTACACCCAAGCTCTGTATACAGACGGAGTACCGTTTTGGCAGACCAGTGCTTTGAGAACTCACCCGTGCCAGCTTTGGGAGACCCCTCCACACACATCCTCGGGCAGGAGGTACTCAAGAGCAAAAAAAAGTGCCATCTCCACTGCTCTGCTGCAGGTGACCAACGGTTTGAGAAGCCTCAGAAAAATACTCTGGGTGGCAAATTTAGCTTCCAAGGACACAAGCGTCTCCCTGCTTCCTGAATGTGGATGGGAAGCTCCCTGAACGCAAAAACCTCCCAACTCTTCCTCTCTGGAGTTTCCCCAACTCCTGTGTCGCTAATTCAAAACAAACACTAATGACTTTGATAGTGAAGCGTTTGCCTGTCATTAATTGTGAGTATCTACAGCTCCTGCAAGTCTCCCAACTCCACTTCTTCCATCCGACCCCACAACTTGCACTGCTGACAATATTCAAACTCAAAATTTTAAAAAAAGCTTTGTTGGGGAAGCTGGGGCACTCATAAGCTTCTGCAAGGTGAAGAGACACACATCAGATCCACGCTAGAATTCAGGCAGAAAGACAAATGTTTTTCTTGCCATTTGCTCTGCTACCAGTGCCGCAAGGCATGTGTCACCGTGTGTTTGTGCATGGGCAGATAGACACACATCCGAAATGAGTCACATCTGCTCCCTGTTTCAAGAGGTTTCCCCTGCACACTGCGGATACGGGGGCATCTCAAAGCAGCAGTGTTCAATCCGGGGGGAGCAGGGGGGCTGGGCTTCTGGATTACAGCACATTAATGCCGGAGCAGTGATAAAATTTCAGTTCTTCATTACAAGCATTGGAGAGCCACACCGCAGAGCCACCATCCCAGTGCCAGCTGGGGGAAAGGTCGGAACCCAGCACCGAGAAGGCACAAAACCTCCCTTTTTTCAGGTGTTTAGTATATGGCAAATTACTTTACCACCCAATTAAGTGTGATCTAGAATATTGGTTTGAGCTGCTGGCATGCCACAGAAATTAAACTAGTGGCAGCATTGAGGCAAACAGACTGTTCCTGCATTTTCATGCTGGCACATACCATACTGCAAACAAGTGACAAAGTAGCTGCTGAGTCACTGGATGGGGCTTAACAGGTTTAACTGTGGAAAGGAAAAAAAAAAACCAAACAACAACAGAGAGCAATTCCAGATTAGGTAGTCTGGGAATACTGTGAGGCTTTTGGGCATCCCCAGACAGAGGTTTTTCCAGCAAAACATTATGTTCACAACCAACCATCTGTCCCACCATCAGGTGCCTGCTGCCGCAGAAGCCGCCCTTCGTTACAGTCCAGCCCGAGTCCAGAGGCGAGCTCTAGATAGAGACAGACAGATCTCTGCATCTGTCCTACCAGAAAGGCACCGGCCAGAGCCCAATATGGCATTTGCTTTGCTGCTCCAGAAACTCAGCGCCAGTGGGGCCATGTCCAGTGGAGGAATTGCCGGGGTGTCCCTCCGTATCAGTCAAGGCTCAAAGCCGCACCTGTCAGCACCGCTCAGGTTGGTTTCCAGCCACAGCCACAGCCATGAAAAGTTCCTCAATGAGATTACACGTCCTTCAGCACTGCTAATTAGTGCTTACGCAAGCGAGGATTTCTGCAAGCCCTCGGGGCTGCTGCCCGGAGGGGACGATGCTCTGCAGGCAGTGCCCTGTGATGGAGACCTGTGCCAACGGGGCACTAACTGCCCCTTCCACATGATTGTGACAAAAGAAGATTCCTCCTCTCTTCCTCCTGCTGAGGGTCTGCCTGTGTTCAACCCCGTGGCCAGCCTGTCTCCAGGTGAGGAGGAGAGGGGAGAGTGAAGACAGAGGACCCCAAGCCACAGGCAGAGACCTCACATCCTAAGCACCACTGTGAACAGGGACTTTTCCAGAAAAATCATTGTACCGTGCTTTAAGACACCCGCTGCCTCCGGCATGTTGCTGGGGGAGGGTGCCCGGGTGATGTTTATGAGATACCAGCAGGAGACTATTGCAACCCAGCGTGCATGTCAGCTCCAGGGGGACTCAGGCTGACTTGAACAAAACACACAATTCTTCAATAACCAGACAGATTTTAGGACAGCAACAGGGAAACCTCAAGAAAAAAACAGGTATAAATCCTCTGGCACCTAAACAAACACCCTGCAGAATCAATATCTGGGCTGTACTAAGAAAGAAACTTGGGTTTATTCCCAAGCCCAAATATGGTGATCCCCGGGGTTTAAATGCGGTCCTGAGCGAGATCCATAAAACAAGTCAGCAGAACCTCAAAGCTACTCATACCCTCTCCTGACCGATTTAGGAATTAAGAGTCTCAATCATTTGTCAGCGCCACTTTCTCTTCCTGCAGCTCGAGGTACTTGGGCAGGAGTG